ATGCTAGTGTAAACTCCCCTTTACTAACTATTCCTCCAGAATTGCAGACAAACTTGCATGAAAAATCCAATGGATCGATTTTCATGCAAGACCCGGCAGTTGCAAGAATCAGCTGTTTTGTTAGTGTGAATGCGTCTGATCAACAGTCGAGTCAAGACAGACAGACAAACAAGAGTAATACGTTTTTTTGTGATGCACTTGTCATATAGTATAACCATACAGTAAAGCGATTTTGAAAAATGACAGGTGTTTGATCGAATTCTGATCGAAGTGCGGATCGGGGTGTTCCGGACCCCCCTGGGGGAAACGGCTTGGTGGGATGTTAGAACATGTTAAATAAACACGATTCGCACAAAAAAATTTTGGGCGTTAGCCAATTTTTTTGAAATATAATTTTTTTAGCGCGAACGCCATGTAAACCCACCCTAACCCTAAAAAAGTATGTTCCGGACCTCGCTCCAGCAAACGACTATCATGGGCTATTAGAACACGTTAAGTTGACCAGATATCCGCGAAAAAATTTTGGGCGTAAAGTGATTTTCAACAATTACGGGTTTCCGATCTGATTCAACATAGTAATTTTTTATATCTATATATTTTTTTGGAGGCAAACCACGAGTTAATGCCATGTCCACTCAAGGGCACTTGAGGTATGTTTGACTCATGCGATTAACGCAAAAACCGCATTTTTTCATTATAATTTTCAAGAAATAATAACTTTTTCGCGTCACTCACAACTTTGGGGATGTTTTTGGGGAAGGGGGGCTAGACTTCAATGACACATAAAAACATAAAATAAACGATATTGCATGAAAACCGCATTGATTTACGCACATTTAAAGCCAAAAAACGTGGTTGTATGTTGCAATGACAAATTTTGTGCACTGCTGCTGCCTTTATAACGTTTTCGATCGCGCTCGATCGATCGGTTTTTCAGCGACATCAAAAAACACAGTATCATTCAATGACAGTTTCGCGATTACAATACTTCCTCGCCAGTAGCATGGGAAGTAACAATAATAAATCATAAAATAAATGTATAACACGAAACTGTTCCACTTTGATTCCCTCTATAACCTATAATTCCAATCAAAGCTAGATTGTTCAACAAGTTATTGGACACCTCGAATTCGAGATCAAAATGCAAATAAAGTTAAATCGATGCTGCAGCAACGTAGTAATATGTAATTAGATCACGTGATGGCAGTGGAAATATTTTATTTACAACTGGTTCTCCGCCGATAGGTAAATTACACTGTTGTTGGCCTATTAATTTAAAAATAATTAGAGTGGAAATTATAAGTTACTTGCTGAAATTCAGCGCACCATAACTGGTGCCTTGCACGCATTTCCCATGCGTCTATGGTGGTAGTCCGATCAGAGTATTTTCTTTTCTTTTTAAAATGGTGATAATAGGCCAGGACAGTGGCGGAACCAAGATTTTTGTCAAACGACAGGGTTATTAAAGTTTTTAATTCTTCATCAAAAACAATATTTACTAAGTGACCTAGAAACAAGAGAACACAATAATAATGAATTGATTACATTTTTTGTATCCGTGTCTCCTAATATTTTTTTGGTCAGTACTCGGTATTCTGCATTCTGAATACCGAGTCCCAATATGCGAATACCCAGTGTTAATTCAAATTGCAGTATTTGAATACTGTTTGGCTATTTTAATTAATGTTGCGTTATGCTTTACGCAGATTAAGCGTACTAAGTAAGACATGTTCGCGATGGTTTTAGATGGCAATAATAAAATAGCTACGCATTAATTTTGTTTGTGTGGACGGTTGTGCTTCTGAATTCTCGATGCCGACAGATCGCTTAAAAACGAGATTAGATTACGAACCTATGCACTTGTGCTTGTGCAATATTGCCATTCAATTTCATAATAATAACGAATTGATTACATTTTTTGTATACGTGTCTCCTAATACTTTTTTGGTCAGTACTCGGTATTCTGCATTCTGAATACTGAGTCCCAATATGCGAATACCCAGTGTTAATTCAAATTGCAGTATTTGAATACTGTTTGGCTATTTTTATTAATGTTGCGTTATGCTTTACGCAGCTTAAGCGTACTATGTAAGACATGTTCGCGATGGTTTTAGATGGCAATAATAAAATAGCTACGCATTAATTTTGTTTGTGTGGACGGTTGTGCTTCTGAATTTTCGATGCCGACAGATCGCTTAAAAACGAGATTAGATTACGTACCTATGCACTTGTGCTTGTGCAATATTGCCATTCAATTTCATAATAATAACGAATTGATTACATTTTTTGTATACGTGTCTTCTAATACTTTTTTGGTCAGTACTCGGTATTCTGCATTCTGAATACCGAGTCCCAATATGCGAATACCCAGTGTTAATTCAAATTGCAGTATTTGAATACTGTTTGGCTATTTTTATTAATGTTGCGTTATGCTTTACGCAGCTTAAGCGTACTAAGTAAGACATGTTCGCGATGGTTTTAGATGGCAATAATAAAATAGCTACGCATTAATTTTGTTAGTGTGGACGGTTGTGCTTCTGAATTCTCGATGCCGACAGATCGCTTAAAAACGAGATTAGATTACGTACCTATGCACTTGTGCTTGTGCAATATTGCCATCCAATTTCATAATAATAATGAATTGATTACATTTTTTGTATACGTGTCTCCTAATACTTTTTTTGCCAGTACTCGGTATTCTGCATTCTGAATACCGAGTCCCAATATGCGAATACCCAGTGTTAATTCAAATTGCAGTATTTGAATACTGTTTGGCTATTTTTATTAATGTTGCGTTATGCTTTACGCAGCTTAAGCGTACTAAGTAAAACATGTTCGCGATGGTTTTAGATGGCAATAATAAAATAGCTACGCATTAATTTTGTTAGTGTGGACGGTTGTGCTTCTGAATTCTCGATGCCGACAGATCGCTTAAAAACGAGATTAGATTACGTACCTATGCACTTGTGCTTGTGCAATATTGCCATTCAATTTCATAATAATAATGAATTGATTACATTTTTTGTATACGTGTCTCCTAATACTTTTTTTGCCAGTACTCGGTATTCTGCATTCTGAATACCGAGTCCCAATATGCGAATACCCAGTGTTAATTCAAATTGCAGTTTTTGAATACGGTTTGGCTATTTTTATTAATGTTGCGTTATGCTTTACGCAGCTTAAGCGTACTAAGTAAGACATGTTCGCGATGGTTTTAGATGGCAATAATAAAATAGCTACGCATTAATTTTGTTTGTGTGGACGGTTGTGCTTCTGAATTCTCGATGCCGACAGATCGCTTAAAAACGAGATTAGATTACGTACCTATGCACTTGTGCTTGTGCAATATTGCCATTCAATTTCATAATAATAATGAATTGATTACATTTTTTGTATACGTGTCTCCTAATACTTTTTGGTCAGTACTCGGTATTCTGCATTCTGAATACCGAGTCCCAATATGCGAATACCCAGTGTTAATTCAAATTGCAGTATTTGCATAATGTTTGGCTATTTTTATTAATGTTGCGTTATGCTTTACGCAGCTTAAGCGTACTAAGTAAGACATGTTCCCGGTGGTTTTAGATGGAAATAATAAAATAGCTACGCATTAATTTTGTTTGTGTGGACGGTTGTGCTTCTGAATTCTCGATGCCGACAGATCTTTTGAAAAACGAGATTAGATTACGTACCTATGCACTTGTGCTTGAGCAGTATTGCCATTCAATTCCATAATAAATTTTAATACCTGCTATAATTTGTGTGTGATACCATATAAAGAAGCTATATAAAAATGTACGTTTATTTTTTAGTTATGACGGTACATTGTGTAAAATTCATATTTTCTTATAAAGTCTTCTTCTGTTAATTTCGTTTCAAAAGGCGATATTTAAAAGTGCATCGAACCTTAAAAATCGAAATATCTCAAAAACGGCTAACTATAACGAAAACTCAAAAGAGAGCTTTTTTATGTTGAAAAGTGCGAAGAATCAGTTTTTTTATTCAAAAAGCAAAAAATTGCACTAAGAAAAATTTTTCGGTCATTTGAATACACTACAGGTATAGTAGAGAGCGCCCTCTAGCGGCTACAGTAAAACTATGCCCATGGTTCGTTTTGTCGTACCAAAAAACCCTTATATACCAATTTTCACTGTTATACTTTAAATATTGTTCGAAATATTTAAAAAAAAAATATTTTAGAAAGTAAATTTAAACACCCTGTATTACGGAAACCACGCATGTTTCGACCCATGTTTATATAGACTTTATGCATTAATTTTAAAAGTTCTATCGAATCTTAAAGTTGTGCAACAATAAATTGAAACACCCTGTATAACAAAAAAAAGCTAAACACATTTGTTTCAAAACGCTGCGCAACTGCTGCATGTTGTGCGTACCTCTGTGTGTTCAGAAAACCACAATACACAATGCTCTATAAATAAGTTACTGATAAAAATGCACTATATAGTAGACCATGAGGCTACGAAAATTGTAAAAGCTATTTTTAGCAGCAAACATCGACTATCCTACTACTTTATGCAGGAATTGTAATTCCACGAATGCCGAGTGAGTACGAATTGTTGCAATATGAAATTGTGTAGAGCTAAGCGGAATTTTATGGACGTTGTTTGAAATAATGACACACCATATAAAAAGATACACGTGTACAGACGAATGAACATATCAGAATGTTGCTTATGCGATTTCATGATTTGTAATATTCGAAGCTTTCATTTGTTAGTGACACATACGCCTTGTTTTAAAATCACAGTTGAAAAGACTATAATCAATACTCGTAAGGAGACTATCAAGTTGAGGTGTTTGTCAAATTAGTACAAAATGTTGAAATTCTTTTATTTACATATCAGATTAGACTAAAATCTGTAGACATAAGTAATCAAGCAGAAAAAAACCTAATCTCAAATACGTCAAGAATACGAGAAACACAGGTACCTATGTTCATATCAATGTGAATAGTATATTTTTTTATCTATACTTACTCTTTTCCATTTGAAAGTGTAGGCAACATCCATCAAACTAAAATCTTGAGGTAGTACTTCGCCTTCGTATATGATGTCCACCTGAAACAAAAAATTGAAGGATGACGTTCACGATCTTAAGGTACATAAGAAAACATGTTTTGCATCGTCAATCAGAGAGGAAAGAATGAAGATAAAAATTACAGATGCAATACCTTTAGCGGAAAATGCTTCAAATAAAAATTGTAGGTTCTTCCCTCAACTGCCGGTAGGTGACATTGGATTCACCCTTTGACCTTGAAGGTTATTTGAAAGTCAACTTAAAAATTCCAAATGGAAACCCCTGTTTTTGATTCCGGTAATGGAACGACTGGAAATTTTACGTTCAAACACGACCCTGATAGACCATCATATTTAACCTTAAGTGATCCCTTAAGGTCAAACTACCACTAATGCCGGATATCGACGACTCTTTGGGAATGCACTTTAGAAGGAGATGCTTCAATTAAATGTTGTCGGATTTTTCCTTGGATTAAAACTTGACTTTGAAGGTCATTTGGAGGTCAACTTCTAATTGTCCCTCGTATTTGACCTTGAATGACTCCTCGGACAACCAAGGCAAGGCTGATAGTCCCGGCCAACTAAGGCAAGTTCAAGGGCCCCGACCATATAGTGGTAGTTTGGCTTTGAGGGATCACTATTTTACAAGCTCTGATATTATTTAATTCTACACTTGAATAATTATGGGATGGTGATTCACGGTCAAATATGAGAGTCATTCAAGGTCATATATGAACGTGAAACTTTTTGTTGGTGTCATTGCTGGGGCCAAAAATTGGTTTTTACATTTAATATTCTGAGGTGAACTTCAAATGACCTTCAAGGTCTTAGTCAAGATCGAATCCAAGACCACCTTCTGATAGCTGAGGAAGAATCTCAAACCTTTTTCCTAAAATGCATCCTCGAAGAGTCATCGATATCCAGCGTTAGGGGTCGTTTGACCTTGTGGAAGCACTCAAGGTCATGGGGGTCATTCTAGGTCATGCTTGAACGTAAACTTTTCCCGTCGTTTCATTACCGGAATCAAAAGTAGGGGTTTACGTTTGCAATTTAAAAGTTGACCTTCTAATAGCCTTCAAGGTCAAAATCAAGGTCGAATCTAAGATCAGGACAGATAGTTGAGGGAAAATCCTACAACTTTTATTTGAAGCATTTCCTCCTAAAATGTATTCCCAGAGTAATCGAGCCGTTCCGGTATCCTGTATATTAGGCACCTTCCTTTTTCAAAGTAGTTTTCTAATTAGCGCGAAGAGGAGAAACATAGCCGTGTCAAATTCTCATAGATGACGTTACGGTATGATATTTCATCTAAATCCTGTCTCTCATTGAAGCTTGTTCAAAGTTTTGCGTAACAATTTGTCGCATAAACATGCATTTTCTCATTGTTTATCGAGTTAAGCATCTCATTAACTCATTAACAGGCTTTGTTATTGCTTGCCTGGTAATTGAAGTGTTGCAACTAAAACTCGACGGCCACACAAGCATATAAAGCATTGTTTGACCATAAGTCGTTCGCAAAGTATACGGACTCACGAGTAGTAGAATCACATTACGGTCAAATTACATGTTTACTCTTACATGGGGAGCAATTTTCTGCAGCAATAAAAAATGGCGTCAAGTAGGTTGACTTTGCACTTTCCACTCAACGCCGTTATCAGTTCATAAACGGTTATATTCAGCACATAAGAGACCCTCTAAGAAAAAAAAGGCTGTCAAACAGATCCATATAATTAATCCATAGACATTACCTCCGTGTCCTACCTATAGTGTTTCTGAAAACGTCGCCTCTCCCAGATTCTTGACCTGGTCACCAGTCAGACGTGGCCGCGGGATGAGAGCATAGGAAACACTATGCTGTGATGCGGCAGAAATACGTGCGATACCATACCAGAACCATTGTCTAATAGATGAGTAGAATTACCGAGGTTGGGAGCGTATAAATGTACTTACATAAAAAAATTGAGATATCCCCTCACAACCGCCCAACAACCCACACCCCCGTTTTTTTACCCCTAAATATTTTTTCAAAAATAAATCTTCTGAAACGTCAAAAAACGAAGTTGTGCGATTTTTATTTTTTTTCGTTTTCTGCCTTTTCCTCTGCCGTCACTGGACCGATTTTCAAAATCTACAAAGTTTTTGCGTCCTTGGCATAGTAGAAATATTTTGAAAAAATGTCATCGAAATCCAAGCCGTCCTTTTCAAGTTGTAGGCGGTTATAAGATTAGCGGATACACCGACGGAAACGAGTTATATGGTTTTTCGTGATGTACAATGTACATGTCATATTACATCCAAAAAACATATCTCATTTTCGAAAATTTTCGCGATTATAATACTTCCCCGTCAGTAGGCGCGGACAGTAAAATGGGCGCACCCCACGGCTGGTGCGACCGATTTGTCGAGATTATCCCGTACTGAAAAAACATATGGTTTCTGCGTAAATTAGCAAATTAACGATCATTTTACAAATATTTGCCTGAACTGCTGCAATCCGCATATCGCTAGCATGTTTTGTGGGTTGCAGGCTCGTAGGATACTATATCGAGTACATACACTTTTGGAAGAAGATGTGACGGAGGAAATATGATCAAGCGTAACAACGGGTATGTACAGGTTCAGTGTTATTTAGTAATTATTGATTTCGATGTGAGAGAAATATATGATGTAGATGGTAATCTCCATGAAGGCAACACATACGTCTAGTGCAAGCCACCAATTGTTAGTATGCAGTACGAACTTTACAACAATCGCATAATGACATAAGAAATTGCAATTTGGCACAAGGAATTTCAATCTGACAGTTTTCAGTTCCGTTAATGGCGTTGATCGATATCCAACTGGCCGGACGATTATTTTAAATATCATGGTAAAATATAGCAACCGTTACTTAATTCGTAATATATGACTACCACGAGTATTCCACATTAAGTTCACTAGTACAATTATAAAGTTTTGCTTTATATTTTCTTGAACCAATGCTTCTTTTTGTCCACTCTTTCCAAACTTTCTTTTGTATAAAATATTCTGAACTCTAAAGTAAAGGATCATTAATTTCCCTTTTTGTCTCTCTTCATTTACTGTTCATATTTTATTACGTTCTTTATTTTTTAAATCAACCTGGCAGTTGAAGACTCCTAATGATAGTACGGAACATGACATGACTTTGAAGTTGAGTCATTAATTTTCAGATAATGATTGTAGAAGGAAGATAAACCAAAATATGTGTGTAAAAATAAAAAAAAATTAAAAAAAAAATTTTACCTTTTTTTATAAAGTATCCTGAGACCTGTATTTGATCGTGCGGTCTTGGAGCACCGGCATGCACTCCCCTGTGAGGTCTTAAGTCACCTGATTCACGAGCCCTTTGTAATACATTAACAAAGGCACGAGGGGTTGGTTGCACTCGATTGGGAAACCGATCCGCATAAATCCGTGATGCCGCGTAAATAAGATTCATGTCCACAAGTTCAGCATTTTCGTAAACATGTGCCATTTTTGATTTCGTTTGAGCCACGCAACAGACACCACTATTCACTCACGCGTTACCGACTGACACTGACTGTATACAACTGAATAAAATAATTGTAAAAACATCGTTCCAAATTCTTTCGCTTTTTTGTTTCCGATGCGATGAACCGATAAGGCGGATTATATCCGTTGTTGCCAAACACGAGCACATATTATTATTGAGACAGGGCGGTACTCAAACTTCCAAAGGGCTATAACTTTGTTACTCTAATTTTACCAGAAAAATGGTAAAGGAAAAAACATTTCTTTTGATCAGATCTACTCACTGTTAAAATAAATGATATCGAAGTCACCCTGTATATTTGAGGGTGATTCTACTAGTCTTGAATCTGTATACTTTGCCGTTGGCAAGAACATGGCGGAATGATGAATTCACTTTAAGCGCTAATTAAGGTGGGATTATTGAATATTCTGTCAGATATCGATCATATAAAATCAACAGGCATGCACATATCGATTATATGCATTTGTACCCAGAGAAAACGTCGTTCTGGAAAATATGAAATTTTGTTGGAATACAAAATGAGAAAGTTTTTATTTGGAGTTGAATACATCAAATATCAACACAAAATTTTCCAAATGTTTGATGTCCCAAGATCTGTCAGAGCACAGTTATTACACATCCATCATTCAGTAAATTGCAATTTGTTTTTTAAATTCCAAATATCATCCAAATATACCTTATATTTGAATAAAGTAATTCATTAAAACTAGGCAAATACTTTTACCTGAACTGATTAAACAACTTTTATAAATATAGTTAAATTGTTTTATTTGGAGCAGGTACACTCATTTTGATAAGTTAATTCTAAGTAAATTGGTGTATTGAATCTAAGTAAACAGTTTAATAAATTTAATTAAACGATTGCGTAAACGGTTCCAGTAAACTGTTTCAGAAATCGGAGTATATTTATACCAATTATACTTGTCAGCTATCACATAATTGAATAAATTGTTTACTTGGTTTAATTAATTTTTTACACTCATTTTGATAAGTTAATTCTAAGTAAATTGGTGTATTCAATCTAAGTAAACAGTTTAATAAATTTAATTAAACGATTGCGTAAACTGTTCCAGTACACTGTTTCAGAAATCCGAGTATATTTATACCAATTATACTTGTCAGCTGTCACATAATTGAATAAATTGTTTACTTGGTTTAATTAATTTTTTACACTCATTTTGATAAGTTAATTCTAAGTAAATTGGTGTATTCAATCTAAGTAAACAGTTTAATAAATTTAATTAAACGATTGCGTAAACGGTTCCAGTAAACTGTTTCAGAAATCGGAGTATATTTATACCAATTATACTTGTCAGCTGTCACATAATTGAATAAATTGTTTACTTGGTTTGATTAATTTTTTACACTCATTTTGATAAGTTAATTCTAAGTAAATTGGTGTATTCAATCTAAGTAAACAGTTTATTAAATTTAATTAAACGATTGCGTAAACGGTTCCAGTAAACTGTTTCAGAAATCGGAGTATATTTATACCAATTATACTTGTCAGCTGTCACATAATTGAATAAATTGTTTACTTGGTTTAATTAATTTTTTACACTCATTTTGATAAGTTAATTCTAAGTAAATTGGTGTATTCAATCTAAGTAAACAGTTTAATAAATTTAATTAAACGATTGCGTAAACGGTTCCAGTAAACTGTTTCAGAAATCGGAGTATATTTATACCAATTATACTTGTCAGCTATCACATAATTGAATAATTTGTTTACTTGGTTTAATTAATTTTTTTACACTCATTTTGATAAGTTAATTCTAAGTAAATTGGTGTATTCAATCTAAGTAAACAGTTTAATAAATTTAATTAAACGATTGCGTAAACTGTTCCAGTAAACTGTTTCAGAAATCGGAGTATATTTATACCAATTATACTTGTCAGCTATCACATAATTGAATAAATGGTTTACTTGGTTTAATTAATTTTTTTACACTCATTTTGATAAGTTAATTCTAAGTAAATTGGTGTATTCAATCTAAGTAAACAGTTTAATAAATTTAATTAAACGATTGCGTAAACGGTTCCAGTAAACTGTTTCAGAAATCGGAGTATATTTATACCAATTATACTTGTCAGCTATCACATAATTGAATAAATGGTTTACTTGGTTTAATTAATTTTTTACACTCATTGTATAAGTTAATTCTAAGTAAATTGGTGTATTCAATCTAAGTAAACAGTTTAATAAATTTAATTAAACGATTGCGTAAACGGTTCCAGTAAACTGTTTCAGAAATCGGAGTATATTTATACCAATTATACTTGTCAGCTATCACATAATTGAATAATTTGTTTACTTGGTTTAATTAATTTTTTTACACTCATTTTGATAAGTTAATTCTAAGTAAATTGGTGTATTCAATCTAAGTAAACAGTTTAATAAATTTAATTAAACGATTGCGTAAACTGTTCCAGTAAACTGTTTCAGAAATCGGAGTATATTTATACCAATTATACTTGTCAGCTATCACATAATTGAATAATTTGTTTACTTGGTTTAATTAATTTTTTTACACTCATTTTGATAAGTTAATTCTAAGTAAATTGGTGTATTCAATCTAAGTAAACAGTTTAATAAATTTAATTAAACGATTGCGTAAACGGTTCCAGTAAACTGTTTCAGAAATCGGAGTATATTTATACCAATTATACTTGTCAGCTATCACATAATTGAATAAATGGTTTACTTGGTTTAATTAATTTTTTTACACTCATTGTATAAGTTAATTCTAAGTAAATTGGTGTATTCAATCTAAGTAAACAGTTTAATAAATTTAATTAAACGATTGCGTAAACGGTTCCAGTAAACTGTTTCAGAAATCGGAGTATATTTATACCAATTATACTTGTCAGCTATCACATAATTGAATAATTTGTTTACTTGGTTTAATTAATTTTTTTACACTCATTTTGATAAGTTAATTCTAAGTAAATTGGTGTATTCAATCTAAGTAAACAGTTTAATAAATTTAATTAAACGATTGCGTAAACTGTTCCAGTAAACTGTTTCAGAAATCGGAGTATATTTATACCAATTATACTTGTCAGCTGTCACATAATTGAATAAATTGTTTACTTGGTTTTTTCTCAGTGCACGAACAAAGCTGTAGATCGCAATGATAGTCTGGTTCTATGCAACCTGAAACTGTACTTTTAATTCAAGAACTAATGTATAAACCACGATATCCCTATCAAATGTTAATGGCTGCAAATTTGCCAGGCTCATGCAACCTTCAACCATCAAAGTCCAAAATCTTAAGATGGGTTTTACGAATTGATGAAACATTCATAGGCCGCTGAGCAGTTGAAAAAAATTAATACAAAATTGTACCGTGCAACGTATCTCCAGCTTTTGGAAGATTGGTGAATGCAGACACGTTTCGTAAATCTAGGCATTCTATCAGTAAAGGTCCAAAAACTGGTTTAAATGCCAAGTTAGGAGACCATTGTTTGTAACAACTTACTTTGTGATCGACGGTAAGGCCGAACTTCATCCTGATAAACTTCTGGAGATGTTTCATCGAGACAGCGGCGGGACACTGCAGATACCTCTTATCACAATCTTGATTTTGGACACTATCACTGTCGGTCAGTTTTTTGTTAACACTGTCACCGTCCGTACAATCTGAATTCGCGGTCGCAGATTGTTTTTGTTGATCACTGTGACTGGCCACCGAGCACTCGCGTCCTTTTTTGTCTTTCACGTCAGCTGTATCCAAATGCACCTGGTAGTACTCCAAGGATAATGAGATCGAATCCTCCGGGCTGAAGAACTGGGTCTTGTCGCCCACATAGTTTGAGATCTGTAACGCAGAATTAGGATTATAAGTTTTGACAGCAGGATGGAAAAATGGCGTCGACGCGTCAACAGTTCATAAAGAATTATGTTCAGCACAAACTAAATCGTCTGAGGAAAAAGTCAGTCAAACAGGTCCATACATTCTTTCCCTGCCCTACCTGTAGAGCAACCTGGAAACGTCGCCACCTCCAAGATTTCTTACCTCTAACATTTTTTTCATAAATGATCAGGATGATTTGAAACGACAAAAACAGAAATTGTGAGCGACTCTTACATTTTCATTTTAGGCTTTTTCTGTGTTGCCACTGGATCTATTTTCAAAAACTGCAAAGCTTTTGCGTACTTGGCATAGCAGTAACATTGTATAAAAATTTCATCGAAATCCTAGCGGTACTTCTTAAGTTATAGGCGCTTATAAGATTAGCGGACAGACCGAAATGAGTAGGCACGGGAAAAACACGAAATTTAGTTTTCGAAAATTTTCGCGGAGACAATACTTCCCAGTCAGAAGGCGTTGAAAATAAAAATGGTTTAATAAGATTTTACTTGAAAACTTGAGATGAATGAGATTCCTTATCGTTTGAATATTTTTTTAATTTTTAGTTCACTGTACCAGCTAAATAAAGGCTTGTTTTCAAAAACGTATTTTTTATTTTATCTATATAGTTTTGCTTGACATATACCTACTAAGTGACATATAAATCCGAACACCCAGTTTAAATGGTTTTATTTTAATAAAATTTTGTATAAGCATAATAAGTAAATGATAAAAATTTCAAAATGATTGCACTGCTTTAAAGCCCTTTGACCTTTAATAATGTGTGGATGCACCCTGATGTGCTACGCATTCTCCAACGCGCCTAGGCATGCTTCTGATTAGGTGGTCAATGTCCTCCTGTGGTATCTCATTCCAGGCAACCACCAACTCCTCTCGAAGTGCTTCTAGAGTCTGAGGAGGACGTTGCAAATTGAGCAATCTCCTACCCATCATATCCCACACGTGCTCAATTGGGGATAAGTCGGGAGATCTTGGTGGCCATGGTAACAATGTGACATCATTATGTTGAAAGAAGTCTATTGTGACTCTTGCAACATGTGGTCGGGCATCATCTTGTTGGAAAGTTGGATCTGCCAGGGAGTCAAGATAGGGTAAAAGATGGGGTTCTAGAATTTCGTGGATATAACGCTGCGCGTTCGTGTTACCTCTGATGAAGATTAAAGGTGACCTGGAACCATAAGCTATAGCACCCCAAACCATAACTCCAAGTGTGATGAACATGTCTTTCAACAAAAAACTGTGGATTCCTCCTTTCACCACGTCGCCTTCTAACCCTGGCACGACCATCGTGCATGCCTAAACAAAATCGAGACTCGTCACTAAAGACAATACTGTTCCATTCCTGATCCCAGAGTGACCGTTGTCTGCACCACTCAAGGTGATTACGTCGGTGTTCTCGAGTTAAAGGGAGGACCCAGTGTGGCCGGTATGAAAACAAGCCACTTCTCATTCGTCGGTAAACACTTCGCATGCCAATAGGTCTTCCGTGTTCTGCAAACCATTCATTGCAATGGACCTGGTAGTGGAGAAACGGTCCCTTAAGGCCAATAATCTTAGGCGGCGATCTTCACGGTCTGTTGTTCTACGGCGGCGTCCAGTGCCCCTTGCTCTTTGCATACGGCCTTCTCGAAGCCATGCCTGGCAACACCTAACCACAGTGTCTACACTTCTTTGCACTGTAACTGCAATTGCCCAAAAAGAAAGTCCAGCTTCCCGAAGTCCCACTATACGGCCCCTATCAAACTCACTAAGTTAACGACATCGTACAGGTCTCCGTACTCTAGACATCGTAACCGATCGTAAAGGATGTCAAGAACCAAAATCCGCCAACGTTGATTCTTTACTGCGGCTGAAATATTCATTTTTAGAGCGTTAGTGAATTAAAAAAAGCAGTATAAAAACCGGAATGTCCAACTGATAAGGCTGAAAGTTTTTTCACTTGTTATTTACAGTAAGATAAATACATTCACCAACTTTTATTAAAATAAAACCATTTAAACTGGGTGTTCGGATTTATATGTCACTTAGTATATGTGTCAAGTTTCTTGTCTTCGACGTGCAACTTGAATATACCTCTTGTTGATATTTGTTAGAAAGTATATAATGTCTGGTAAAACAATTAGTGGACAATGTTCCCAATTTGTGCTAAAATTGGAGTGGATAAAACGAGCGGCTCTTGTCATCCACTTCGTTGGTTCAAGAACGAGTAGCATCTGTCTTGAAGATAGGTTTGTGCAGTGTGTTTTATTTTAGTTATGGAAATTAAGCTACAACCACGACACGATTAGTTAGTTTTTTTATTTCATAAGCTACTGATGACGAAACCGGCAAATTCGGAAGAAAGAACTATTTTAAAATTCCAAAAATCAAATGCATATACTCAAAAGCCTCTAATGGTATCGAAACTTGACTATGAATCTTCGCTAGTTCACTTACGTACGACATATTTCTTCTAGTATGCCTAACAGGTGTGTTTCATTATTGTGATCAGAAACGTCTCCGCAATAGAAGTTTACAACCTCCACCGCTAATTTTCAACCCCTCCAAAGAAATCTCTGAGCAGGATTCTCTGAACCGTCGAAAAACGAAGACTTTTGTTTTTTCGTTTTATACCTGTAGCGCCACCTCCACTGGGGGGTCAATGTTCAAAACCCATAAAACTTTTTTATTCTTGCCACAATAGTAACGTTGTGTCAAAATCGGGTATTTTTTTCCGCAAAGCTCTTCTTTTTAACAGTAGTTAGAATATCTACTACGTATTCAACCTTTTCTGTCATCATAGGTGTACGTACCAAAACAAATGACCTGGGAGCCTGAATGGCTGGTCTTGGTGACACTTTTTCTTGTATGATATTTTCGTACTTACCATTTCTTCATGGTCGTTGATCAGATCTTGTCTCTCCCTCTCGATAACGCTATCGTCGCTGCAAGAGCTACTGGCTCGAACCCCGGTGCTCCTGTAGAAGTCTTCTCGCCTTTGGAGCTCACGTGCGTACAGAGAGGGCACCAATTTGTACACTAGGGACTGGATTTGGGGGTCTGGCCTGCATCAAAACAAAAAGTATTGGTCACTGATCTCCGTACGCTCAGCTAAATATCGCTCAGGCTGTTCTCAAAATTTTAGCGAATAGTTACTGAACAAATAAGCAAAATCGCGTTATAGGTACATACCTGAAGCATGGTTGTGACTTCTTTTTGTACGATGTATTGCACATGGGTATAGGACATGCAGTCTTGTTGTTCTCGAAATGCCGAAGAATACATGCGCGACAAACTAAAACAAAAGAAATACGAATTAACGCCATCTATTTATTCGATATAAAGTCATATGGATTTGAATGGGCATCGACCATCAAATACTAGGGACTAAATCATGGTAGATCCGGATACCACCTTTTCAGAACGGGAATCAGTGATAGTAACACTGGACAACAAATTTTAGTTTTTTAATTGTATCTTGTGGGAAAAGTGCACTTCATTGTTAATTTTGGGGCGCTGAATCCAAAAATGACAATGAAATAAAAAAATTAGTTGCGGTTTAGAAAAAAAACTTTTTATTTTTAAGGATATATTAAAAAAAGTAACAAGATTCATATACTTATAAGAATCACTATATGCGCTGTCTTTTTGCTGTTCTTTTATGGATCGTTTCTGGAGCATCTCTACCAAGAGTCCAACAGTAGTCTGCAAGCATGGAAGGATTCCGCTTTCCCTGGTACCTTTTTTCCATTGTTGAAATATCCTGATGAAAACGTTCGCCGTGCTCATCACTTACGGCTCCGCAATTGTCAGGAAAAAAGTCCAGGTGTGAGTGTAGGAAATGTATCTTAAGAGACATATTACAGCCCATCTTTTGATACGATGACAGCATATTTTTGACAAGGGTTTTATAGTTGTCAGCTTTTCTATTTCCCAAGAAATTCGTGACCACCAGACGGAAATCATTCCAAGCAGTTTTTTCAATACCTGTTAAAGTGTTTTCAAACTGTGTATCTTTCAAAATATTTCGAATCTGTGGCCCAATAAAAATACCTTCTTTAACTTTTGCCTCACTTAGTCTTGGAAATTTCTGACGCAGATATTGAAAAGCTGACCCATCTCTATCTAATGCCTTGACAAAGTTTTTCATTAGGCCCAACTTGATATGCAGTGGTGGTAATAAAAGTTTTTTCGAATCTACTAATGGCATATGCTGTACATTTTTTTGACCTGGCTCTAGGAATTGACGAACAGGCCAGTTTTGTCTGGTGTAATGAAGTGCCTTTGCCCGACTGTCCCATTCACACAAAAATCAGCAAAACTTTGTGTAGCCTAGCTGCAGCCCAAGTAAAAGTGCAACAACTTTCAAATCGCCACAAATATGCCATTGGTGCTCATCGTATTTTATGCATGTCAATAGGTACTTCATATTGTCATATGATTCTTTCATGTGAACTGCATACCCTACAGGAAGAGATGGTAAAATATTTCCAATATGCAATAACACTGCCTTTAAACTCAATGTTGAACTGTCTATAAACATTCTCCATTCTTCTGGGTTATAGTTTATAGTTATTCCCCATATTGAAAAATGGTTCTAAGTCTTTGTGGCGTTTACGAAAAACACATACCAAAACATCGTCTTCTAACAAGTTCCACTGCTGCAGTCTTGATCCAAGTAACTCTGCCTTACATTTTGGAAGTTCTAAATCTCTTGCAAGATCATTTAATTCTGACTGTGTTATTTTGTGCGGTTGGTGGCATGATGTGCTCGGTATCAAATCAGGATCTCTTGACGTTGATGGCATATCTTCTTCCTGACGAATCACTCGATCGCCATGATCTGATTCGGTTTCTGATTCGCAAATGTAGGATTCTGGGGGTTTTGGAATATTATTTTCGTCACTGTGAGGCACAGGTCTCATCGCAGATGGTATGTTTGGGTAGTTAATAACCGATTTTTTTTCTTGGACATACCTGTGGCTTGTCCAACACAAGGTACCATGCAAAAGTAACAATCATTAATATGATTTGTAGGCTCTCTCCAAACCATTGGGACAGCAAAGCGCATAGACCGTTTTTTGCCATTTAACCAGCTCCTCAGACTTGAAGCACATGTATTACAGCAGATGTGGGGTGCCCACTGTTTGTCTTGATCACCTAGTTTACAACCGAAATAAAGCTGATATGCCTTTGTTATTAGTGGAGTAATAGACCGTCTCTAAAACGCAAAAGTCACATCACCACACACGTAACAAAACTGATCTGGATTGTTTACATACTTTCGAGACATCTTGCATGAACGCTGTCAGCCAACTGAGGAAAAAATGGCTAATATAAAACAATATAATGTACACGTATGTATAACCTAACACAATCATGCCGATTAGCAGCATCAGATATCACTTAAAATGTCTGGATAAAATAGTTGTGGTGATAACACAAATTATAAAAATCTATGGCTAACGGAATTTTGTCCAAAGCCCATCTACATACATCAAATAACTCAAAAACTCGGTGGGGGACATCTTTTGGTTTCAACAACTATGGCTTCGGTCGAAAATTTTATGTCCGTACACGCAATTCAAAGATCTCGGAGAGTTTTTGGTGCAACAAAATAACGAATCGTTAATTCATCATGTCATCGTTGGTTGTCAGAGCGGTCCGTGGGACCTTAGCTGTTGAGTCACAGTTTCAGTTTGTATGTTTGTCAAGTCTGGTAACCCAGAAACCAGACAATTTTAAGGCAAAAAGGAAGGAAAGGAGAGAAGGAAGAAAGAGAGGAAATTCAAAATATTTATTTGGTCATGAACAAACATCATAAACAAAGGAAATTCTACATACAGTGGACCTCCGGTAATTCGACAAACATTATGCAGGGCACTGTCAGACTATGGAATTTGTCGGATTATAGAGCACTGCATAGTCTGGAATTTTTTACAAAAGTGTACCTTGTAATCCGACAAATTACATATAAAATGGTAAGATTAAATTAAATAATAATATAGAGCTTACGTTTTATTATACAATTAAGCATAAATGCACATTCATATGTACCAAAATAATCAAGAATTATTAATCAAAATCACTAATGAATTTATCAAATTATGAAGCTTGGAAATATTCATCAATTTTTTTTTGTTTAAGGTTGTTATAACGCGAGATCAGAGCTTTGTCCCGCAAAAGTAAAAGTTCGTAGTAGGATGTACCATTCTCTTCAGCCCATTGTAAACATAGCTCAAAGGCGTTAATTGCATCTTGTGCTGTGACTTGTGGAGCAGTTGCAATCACGTCGTCGTTATTTTCCTGATTGTTTGTTGTATAATTAGAAATCTCTTTTAAAATCTCTTCGTCAGACATTTCATGAAAAACATTTTCCTCTTTATCCATTCCACGGTACCAGATTTCCAAATCTTCCGGACTTATCTGTGTTTCAGTAGCGACTTGTTCTATAACTTCCGAAGTAACACTGATTTGTGGAACGTTGCTAGGAGTAGTGACTATATCTGGCCATAACTTTTTCCAATACGATTTAATAGTTGATGACGGTAACGCATTCCACGACTGACAAAGAGCAAAAACCAAGCCTTCATATTAAATTCTTTTAAAGTTTTTTCTACTGGTTGGTCTTTTGATACGGCTCTCAGAAGTAGGTTTTTCTTATAGTCTTGCTTGACAAACTGAATGATATTCTGGTCCATTCGTTGAATCAGTGCAGTGCAATTTGGCGGAAGAAACATCGCAGTGATGCATTTATCCTCAGTTGTTAGTTCTTCTTCAGACGGATGACCTGGAGCAACAACGCTATTTGAGGAAAATTATGATCTTTTAACCATCTTCTAACTTCAGGTATGAAGCATTCATCAAACCACTTTTTGAAAAGGTCTTTTGTCATCCATGCACTTTTTTGTCCGTAATAGTGTACAGGTAAATCAATGTTTTTGAATGCCCGTGGTTTATTAGATTTCCCAATGACCATAATCTTAAGCGCGTGTGTGCCTGCAGCGTTAGCACATGGTTACACGCTCTTTACTTACTTTTCGTCCAGGTACGGATTTTTCGTTACAAGTAACGAAAGTTTTGTTATGCATCACACGCCAAAAAAGCCCTGATTCGTCTGCATTGTACACCTATGACGGGTCAAGATTTAAATCGTTTAGGGGGCTCTATGCAGGTGGCATCGTTAGAAAGTTTCTCTCCTGTAATAGTCATTAAACGTATGCCATGACGACTTTTAAAACGTTCTAGCCATCCTTTGCTGGCCACAAAATCATCTTTTTTTGTTATTTCCTTATAAAAAAACTTAGCTTTCATGGCCAACATGGGTCCTGAAATTGGTGCATGCCTATTTCTTTCCTGAAGTAACCACATGTACAAAGCTTCTTCCACTTCTGGATGTTCAGCTTTCTTGAGTGTCTGTCTCTTGCCTGGCCCGCAGTCAGTAGTTGACACGAACATCTTGATCTTCTCGTGGTTTCTTTTAATGTCATAAATTGTAGATCGGCCTACGCCGTATTCACTTGCTAAACTACTGAAAGTTTCATTGCGATTTAAGCGGTCTAAAATATCACATTTTTCTTTAATTGTCAATGTTTTGTGCTTTCGCTTCTGAGTTTGTGATGACATTACTAGGTACTATACTTAATACACAATGAATAAATAGTAAACAATGAACACACGCTAGGCCGTACCGCTATCACCACTAAGTAGTCAAATTCAAACTAAATAAAACAATGCTTACGCGTTGAGCACGATAGCGGTGGCGCGTACAAGTTGTAACCTGTTCAAACCTGCATGATCTACATTAGCGAAGATTGTCAAATACGTATGTATGTAATACATATTCAAAGATATGTCGGATTACAGGGGGCGCCGGATTAGACAGTGGCCGGATTATCGGAGGTCCACTGTATAGAGCAATGACGGAAAAGGACAGTCTCTCGATTATAAAACCGATACATTGGACCCTTTAATACAAAGAGTCCATGCGAGAAAGCCGTACAAGTCCTTAAACAAAATAAAAAAAAACAATAAAGAGGTAAATGAAGAAGCGATGAAACACAAAAAGGCAAAAAGGCAAAAACGAAGAAAGAACCCCCGGGAGCTGGCAACGGACGCGAAGAACAAATCTATACAACTTGTCAGCGAGTAGGAATGTAAAAACGATATTTTTGCTCGCACAAACGCTGCTAAAGTAGCTGGTGGTTCTGTAACAGCGTTTTTGTCAGTTTTGAGAATGTTTTTGACGATGAGCTTTTAATTGAAGTTCGTAAATTATTCCATAAGTGAACCGCC